GAAGAGGAAGGAACATGAATTCGCAAATTCCTGTATGTTTTTATTAAAATAATTTCCTTGTACCTGCTTGTGAAAAGTTAGATGTATTTCAATAAGCCTGGTAGTAATTATTTTAGTAAATAAAGAACACACTACTTAAATTCAATAACTTGATATTTAATAAATATAATTAGGCCCACACTTGTTTTCTAAACATTTTCACATAGCTGAAATTATTACTTCATTCAAACATATATTATTTTAAACTACCAAAACTCTTTTCTGGGATTTTATCTCAAAAAATAAAAAAAAAAGAAAGAAACAAATATAAAGACTTCAACAATCACTTATGTTTAAGGTTATGAGTTCAAGAAAATAGTGTTGTTATGTACAGGTCCTCTAGCTCCTGAAAGAATTGTTGGTGCAGTGTCATGTAAACATACATAAATACATGAACACTGGAGCACACAGGTGCACACATATATAGAAGAACACACAGTGCACACACACACACACACACAAACTCATGCACACACAATCTTTATCCCTGCCATTTGCGACAAGACTAAGGCTTGAACCCAGGGCCTCACCCACTCTACGAAGATCTCTACACTGCTTCATTCCTAGTCCTCCACTGAGCTGATCTTGTTTGTTCTAAAACTAAGTCTCACTGTGTAGCCCTGGCTGGCTGGGAACTTCTTTTGCAGACCGGACTGGTTTCTGTCTCATAGATGCTGAGATTAAAGGGGTGCAAGGTTCCTTCCTATCTCCTTGGCCATCCAGCTCCCACCCAAATGACTGGCGTGGCCGATGACTCACTGTTCCCCTAAAGTCTTGGGGTGAACGTTGGTGTTCCCAGTTACCACACTTTAACTAATATAGTGTTGATAGCATCAAAGAAAGAAAAAAAAAGTGCCATAGAATATTTTTCACTAAAAAAGTTCCTGAGTATGTTAGAAGAACAGCTCTCTGCAGCTAATCAGTGTATTTACTGTAAACCATTCCTGAGTAATCACTAATGTAGGTCTCCTAAAGCAACATCCTGAGCAAGGGACCATCTATGTTACAAGATTAGCATTCAGAAATAACACCTCACCAGCTTACATCTGAAATCATGCCATTAATTAATTATCAGTTGCTTTGATTAAAGTTTTTGTAATGTTATGACACTCCCATTAAAATACAAATATCCCTGAGGGAGATAACATGCAAAGCTCATTATCTACAGTTTCCATCTTTGCAGGGATTATTTCAGGATTATCTGATGAAATGAATCACTTTCTGCTTGTGAAGGTACAGGAGTAAGGATGGCTTCTGAACAAGACAGCGCAGAATGACTTCTGTATTGTGCTAACAGGACATGGAGGAGAGGCTGCCTGCTGCCAAATTCTACCACCTAGCCTAAGCCAAAGCGGTCTTTGTATACTTTGAGATACACATCCCTTAAGAGCGTTTACTCGTTAAACCTGAACTGTCATTTTCAACTCTGAATAAATACATTTGCCAGATTCTTTAAAAAGCTGACCTAAGCCTTTCTCTAATTCTCAGAAAATACCTTTAGTTGATTCATTATGTCCAATAGACAGAAAAGTGTTTATCATCCTTTTGTTTGTTTGTTTGTTTTTGTTTTGTTTTTCGAGACAGGGTTACTCTCTGTAACAGTCCTGGCTGTCCTGGAACTCACTTTATATACCAGGCTGGCTTTGAACTCACAGAGCTTCTCCTGCCTCTGCCTCCTGAGTGCTGGGATTAAAGGTGTGCGCCACCACCACCCTGCCGGGCACACATCATTCTTACCTCCTTCTCTCATAGTATCTCAGATGAACACCAGCTGTCCCTGTTTGCCTCCATCTGTCTGCTCCCTGGACAGCTCATGTCACACATCCTTTCCATCCGGTCTCTTGTCCTTCCTCGTGGCATTGCTTTTAGCCATGTGGTGACTTGACCAGTAACTTCAGCTATCCTCTGTACGTCTTGTCCTCACAATCAGTGGTGACAGCCTAGGTGTTCACACTCTGGGACATCTCACACCCTCCTTCTCCTTCCGGGGCCACAGCTCTAATGCATGCCCAGTCTTCCTTGCTATACTGTTGAGAGCAGGTGAGTGTTCCAACATCACTGTCCCCTGGACATAACCCTTTAAGGCACTCACTGCCTGTTGAACTAACACCCATTCCATCCTCCAGTGCACGGTGTGATCTGGTTTCATCTGCTGCCCACTCTTACGTACCCTCTAGTAAAACCTGAGCACTTACAAGTTCCATCACTGAACTCCCATGCATCTACTATGCCTGGAGGACTAAATAGTTCCACCATTATACACTCTTCTTTACTGTTGACCATACTGGCAACTCCGTAAGTCTGGGATAGTGTCCTGTTCATCTCTTCCACACCTCTGGCTGCTTCGAGGACAGCTTTGCCAAGAAATGACAGTTCTTCGAAGCCACTTAACACACTTCTGAGGTGGAAAATTTGGGCCAGCCTCTGAGCACTGGGAATCTGTGCTGGAAAGGGGAATGTGGCCCCAGCACCAGCATCGTTGGGTGTTGTAAGAGGCAGGACACTCCCAGACTGACACCTTTACACTGAAAAACAACTACAGCTCTCAGTGAGTGACTTTGCAGCTCAAAGTATTTTAAGTTTTATACTCAAACATTTTTCTTGCAAGTTTGCAGACATATGTATGTGCACACATATCTCCAAAGGATGACATCATAGTGCTCAGTTGACTGTTGTTTATATATCACATTCACTCATTCCAAACACTTCACTATTGATTTGTGGGTCTTAGGCCATAGCCACAACTTACATTTTAAAATAATGTTTCACATTCCATAGACACTTGACTGTCTTTTGCAGTGGTGTGCATGTTCATGCTGACAGCAGTTGGACACTGAGAGACACTAAACTTGGCATTAAAAATGAGTCAAGAAAGCTGGCAGGGAGACATGCTAACCCAGGGATCTGGATGGGACAGGGTCAACGTCATGTGCAGATTCACAAGGGTGCAGGGTTTAAATGCAGGAGTTTGATTTTTAGACCAGTAAAGCCAAGAGTCTCTGCACCCCAGGGTGCTGTGGAGTTTCCCTGGAAGGCTTGTTTTTCAGAGCCAAAGCTCCAAAGAAGGAAGGGCAGCTCATGTTGGTTCCTAGTCTCATGTTATTTCTCAATTTTATGCTTAATTTGCTCCTTTTGGTTTTATGTATTTTGACACAGCTAAGTGTGTAAGTGGATTCCCCATAGACCTTTAAATGCTATAAAACTTTAATATGGGGAGATAAAAACAATAATAAGCCATGCCTCCAAGCCCCACATTTAGTTCTTTATTTGAGCAACAGGATAAGCAGTTTTAGGTTCGTATTTAGATTCCCAAATGTTGCACTGCTTTAAATGCAGTTACGCCTTGCCTTGCCTCCCTTCACTCAGATGGAAAGTAGGCTCTACCCTCAGCCTGAAGGTGGGACTCTCACTGACTGAAGAAAAAAAAATCATCTTTAAAATTCTGAAATCATCATCTAACTGTCTGTATTGGCATGAGCCAGGGTAATTTAACATGGTTTGGAATGAAGCCAAGACGGATGCTCAATGCCCAGCTTCAGGTGTGCAACCCTGGACAGTTTCAGAAAAACTGGAATAAGCTGGCCATAGCCTCCAGTTTTCAGAACTGTTCTCGGCATCTCAATACCCTAAGAATCTTTGTGTCTTTGATGCACAAAGTTCAATAGAAACACCTTCTAAATAGATCAGTCCTAATGATGGTTAATACTTGCTGCTTTATTAAATAAAGCACATTTGCTTTAAAAAAAAAAAGAAAATTGACTTAGCTGCATGTCAGTCACCCAAATTTTGAGTGTACAAATGAAATGGAAAACATTTATTACACAAATTTAATTACAATTCCAGGAAATAAACATGCAAATCAGACGGAGCGCAATCTACAGGCGCTGATCCTCATCCCGGTTCCTGCCTTTCTTCCCTAGGCCTGCAGTCGGTGCACCTCCTGGATTGCAGTCAGAGGCCTGGCTCTTGCGGGCGGGAGGATCACGGTTTTAAAGAGGCGCATCTGGCCATAGCAGCAGTCTCCAGTCTTCCTAACACTTCCGCAAGTGCCCTTCCCTGCTTTGTTAAGTCTACCTCCTGTAAGCCTGTACATTCCTCGCACCTCAAGTGACCTCTTCATCATGGAGGGTTCCCAGACAGGATTTATGAATTAAATTTGTTTTGTGTTGTTGTTTTGTTTTGAAGAAAAAAGGGAGCCACGCTTGGTCCCGCATGTCTTTCAACTTAGCACTTGGGAGGCAGAGGCAAGCAGATCTCTGTAAGTTCAAGGCCAGCCTGGTCTACACAGTGAGATCCTGTTTCAAAAACAAAACAACAACAAAACCCCACACAAAAGCCAGCTCTAATTGAATCCACTACAAGAAGGGGGTGGGGGAAATCACTATTTGCAAAATAAAGTGACTCCGGCTTCTGCCACAGCCTCTCCACCAAGAGCAAGCTTCTTCACTAGTTTTGTTTTTGTTTTTCTTGGAGGTTTCCCCCGCGGGGATCCTCACCCGGGAGCTGCCAGTTCACGTGGAGGCAGGACGAGTACTGCCTTGTTACACCCGGGCTGCAGGGGAAGGGACCGGGCGGGCGGGGGAGCGCAAAGGCTCAGTCCAGCTCCGACATCTGTTTCTCATCTCCAAGTGCAGTACAGAGGGGAAGAAAGTCTTTAGCAAAGGGTGGGAAAGGCACAGATTTTTTTTTTTTTTAATCACACGCACATACAATAAGAAAACTAAACCGAAATTTAAAAAATAGACAAGACGTCTGGGCAGGTTGCGGTGAATGCTTCGCGCATTGCAGACCCTGCCCCGGGCGGGCTGCGCGCGTGGGGTCCGGGGTGCTGGCGGGAGCAGCCCGCGCGGCCCCGAGGGCGGAGGCGGAGCGGGGGCGGAGGCAGGGCGGGCGGGGGCGCGGCGCCCTGCGAGCTGGCAGAGCGGAGGGAGGCGGGGAGCGCGCTTGTCAGGTTCCCTCTCGCCCCGGGGGCATCCAGCAGAGCTGGGCTCGGAAATCCGCGGGGAAATGGCAAACAGGATTGACGGGTTTCTCGCGCTCCTCGCCAGACACAGCGGCTCATTTCCATAACCGTCTGCGGCGGCGGCGGCGGCGGCGGGACCTGCGGGGACCTCGGCCGCCGCGCACCGGGCCACGCCGACAGGGCCCGGGAGGCGCGTGGGCAGCGGCGGCCGCGCGGAGGACGGCGGCGGCTGGAGCGCGGGGCGCGCGGTAAGAGCCGCGACCCCAGGGCGCGGGAGGGCGGGGAGGGTCGCGCGTGGGGCCGGGGCGCTGCTGGACACAGCGGGGCGCGGGGGCGGCGCGCGCTCTCCAGGGCCGCGCGCCCTTCCCCGGAGCAGCGGCGTGCACGAGGCGACCCGGGCGGTCGGCGGAGACCCCCATAGCGGCGAGTCGGGTGTCCCCGGGTGGCAGGAGGGTCGGCCCGGGGCCGGGAAGGTAGGGAGGAGGGCCTGCGGGTCTCAGGGGCGCGCGCTCCGTGGAACAAGGCGCCGCTGCCGAAGCTGACACCTTGTGTCCCCCGCCACCTCCGCGCCCGCCCTGCTCCCGGCTGCGGGCGGCGCTGTCCTCGGCTCACCTTCCCGCGGGCTACGAGGCCCACGCCCCCGCCTCTGCCAGCCTCCTTGGCCCCGCAACTTTCCGGAGCGCCTGGCCGCAGGAACGGGGCACCAAGGTCCACCCTGGCCCCAGCGGCGCGCACGGCGCAGGCGGCCGCGGCTCGGCGAAGGACCCTGGCAGCTGCGGGCTGGAGTGCGGCCCCGCCAGCCGCCGTGAGTCATAGCCTTGGAATCCCACCTTGGCGAGTATTTCCCATAGAAGGAAACTTGGTTTTTAGAAGGAGAGCGAATAATCATAGCTCTTATTCTTCAGGAGAGGCACTGGGCTCCGGTACCTTGGAAGACTACTTGCCTTTGTTCCCAGACACTTGGGCTGTTTACTTTTCCCTGCGGCCTGCGTCTGGCCGGACGGTGCCCTCTGTCCCAGAAAGGGGCTTAAGGGCATGGCACCAGTCTCCAGGGTGCGTCTGGGTAAGACCCTGGGTAAGGGACCCGTCACACCCTAGCACCCCACCTTGGGCCTGGGCTGAGAGAGCTGACCCTAAAGCTCCCAGTGGGGAACCTCTGACCTCCCTAGTTCCCCACACCTGCATTCCCAACCCCAACACCGGACCTAGAGCTCTTAGCCTCTGGGACCGCCGCTGGCCAGTGGACTTCCTGAATCACCACAGGGACCTGCGAAAAGCGGCACCTGTCGGGTTTGGAGCATTGAAGGGTTTTGTTCTAACCATCCAGCTCCTACCTCCACCATTGGGTGAATCGGACAAACTGTTGAGATCCTGTCTGGGACGATTTGGAGTCAGTGGGTGAGGAAGTCTCTTGGCTCCCCAAGACAGAGCTCTGCAGTTCTCTGGACCGCCCTGGATAGCTGCGGTCCCTCCATGCTATCCAGGGTTGGACTCTGTCTTCCAGCTGTCTAGATCCTCCTTTATAAAACGGTCTGTAATTCCCAGTGTCAGGAAGAGGCGGGATGATCCTTCTGCTGTGCCGTGTTGTTTCCCAGTAGCCTGTGAGGTTCCTGGCACCTCCGAACCACGGCAGCCACTCCTTTTAGCACCATAATGGCTTCACCCGGAAAAACCAAACGGTATAGAAATGCCTGTATGAGGAACGTTGGATAGAAACACTGACTCTTGGCCTCCAGCCTTGTGAGGGTGCTGGGGTGGGGGGTCATTCCACAGCATCACCCCAGGGACCAAACGGGCACAGCAGCCTGAGGGGTTACAAGTTAGCGCATTAACACTCTCAATTTTAATCCTCTCATTTCTGATCTTAAAACACAATCTCTATCATATACACCATTGTGTCTGTATTTCATAGTAACAGCATGAACTTGTGAACTGGGACTTCTGGGTTCCATAGCAGAAGACCCATGCTCAACCAGCACTATCCAGCCCAGTGTCTCATGCACACTACTCTTGCCTCCCTAATTGGTTAACATCAGTGTGAGTTCTAAGTAGACCAGGAAGGCTCAATTGCAGACTCTCCTCCCCCCTCCCAAGTAGTCCCAGCTCATTCATGTTTTATTCCAGCTTAAATAAATCACTTGCAGAACCCAGCCTCTCCCATTTAGGATCTTGTGTATAACAGTTTCCAATTTGAAAAAGAAAAACTTGCTGAAATTAGATGTTATAAACAAAAGAAACAGCCACGCCAAAAACTATTATGCCACATTTCAAGTTCAAATGCATAACGATGGATTTCATATGTTGTGAACAATGCTAACAGATAGAAGCCCTGAGAGTCTTAACAACGGAAAAGCTGCTCCCCAGGTCATTAGAATATAAACAAACTCTGACTATGGTAAAGCAGCCCAGGGCCCATTAATGTCCTATTAAGCAAAGGTAATTGCTGCCAGGAGCCTGGCAGGGCTTCTCCTTCTTTAGGGGCATGGGTTTATCAACCTGCTTTTGTTTATATGTAATAAAAGTTCCACCAGGGAAAGGCTTGGATCCTCTTCCCTGAACCCACCCCAGGAGTGAGTGTGAATTCCAAGTTGTCTGCCCCGGCTCTGGCTTCTCTGGATGTAGATGTCTTTTAGACTAGGTTAAGAAGCTGGAGTGTGCCGGGCGGTGGTGGCGCACGCCTTTAATCCCAGCACTCGGGAGGCAGAGCCAGGCGGATCTCTGTGAGTTCGAGGCCAGCCTGGACTACCAAGTGAGTTCCAGGAAAGGCGCAAAGCTACACAGAGAAACCCTGTCTCAAAAAACCAAAAAAAAAAAAGAAGCTGGAGTGCTTCAGTGATTCTTTGCTTGGCTGAAGAGTTTGAGGGGGAAGAAAGCAAAGGGCTGAATTGGTTAAACTGATGAAGGCACATTTCTTTGTTGATGACTAAAGAATGAAATACATGGTATCGCCCACTGTTTCTTGATAGAGAGTTGTTTTATACATACACTCACACAACACAACACACGTCCTCTTTCCCTAAGGTGTTTCTGGTATCTCTTTGGAAAGAAAAATGGAAAGGTAAACTCCAAAGCCCAAGTCAGCTATACCCTAATTCTACCCATTGAGTAGAGACCTGGCCCTGTCTCATGATGCAGGGCTGAGGCTAAATTCGAAAACACGGGTGTCTGGTGAAAGAGTCTACCAGTAGTCGCTCTGGTAGCCAGAGAACTTGACCGTAAGACAAGGACAAGTTCTTTCCCTTGCCCTAGCCTGAAGGCAGAGGACTGAACTGGGCTCTTGCTATAAAAGAAAATCCATCTTCAGCAAGCAGTCCTGACATCACGTCAGTGACAGATCCGTATAACACAAGTGAGCCATGCAGGTCTGGAGGGCCTATAGCAGTGATTCTCAACCTGTGGGTCTCGACCCCTTAAGTGGTAGTCAATCAACCTTTTCACGGGGGTCACCTAAGACCATCAGAAAACAGATATTTACATCACAATTCATAACAGTAGCAAAATTGCAGTTACAAAGCAGCAATGAGGTAATTTTATGGTTGGGGGTCACCACACCTTGAGGAACTGTGTTAAAGGTCACAGAGTGAGGAAGGTTGAGAACCACTGCCCTAAAGGAACCAGGAATCAGAGGTGCTGGGCCTGCTCTCCGGCCTGTGGCCCCAGACTCTTTTTCTCCCTGAAACATACTCTTGACCCTAGAGGGTCACACTGAGTCCCATGGAAGTGGCCCTGTAGCCTGGATTACACAGGGTCAGAGTCTGGGAGTACCACAGAGCATTGGAGGCTTAGGCTGGCTCCCTGCAGTTCTGAGGTCAGGGTGGGAACCAGAGAGTAGGGCGGTGATGTGTTGACTCTTGGAAAGTTCCTGCCTTGCATCTGGCTTTGCAGTTTAAAGAGTTGCTGGCTGCCTCTGCCCGGAGCCCTGGCTCCTGTTTAATATTCTGCTGCCTGGTTGATGTTGTGCTTGGCTCCTGTGGGGCTGCAACTCACGGCTGGAAACTGGAGCCAATTTTCTGTCTTCATCTCGCAGTGTTTTGACTGGAGGCAGATCCAGTTCAGGCCGATCGGGGCTGTGGAAACAACTACCGAGTGTCTGTCTGCTTCACCCCAGGAGGGGAGAGCGTGGCCGAGGAACTGGGAAGAGAGCAGAGTGCTGGGAGGACCTTAGGGACTTCTGCCCTGCCCCCGCCCCCCCCACTGATCAGCAGATTTCATCAAAGGGGACTCCTAGGGGCTTGAATAGAAAATTGATTTCACCTTATTAATAGAAAGGAGGCACAGCGGCCTGGCCCTTCCTCTTCGAGGTACATTTGTAAGGCCAGGAGGAAAATGCCTTTGGGAGGCAGAGCAACTGTCTGAGGGCCTGAGGGGAGCTGAGAACAATCAGGAGTGGGCTCTCGAGGTCCTCCCTGAGATGCAGGCTGCCGCTTGCGGTGGCCGAGCTGATGGCGGCAAGAGTTTGCTAAGTGTCCTTGGAAAAACAATCTGCTGGTTGGGATGAAGGGGAGGGATGGAAAGTGAAAGCCTCCCCAAGCACAGGGTGATGCAGAGACCATCCTCAGGCTGACTCCTAACCAGGGCTGTTTGTCTGTCCCACCTCACTCCCCCCCCCCTTTCCAGATCCGAAGCTGGCAGCGATGACGCTGGTTCTGTCCATGAATAGATTCTGTGAGCCCATTGTCTCAGAAGGAGCTGCTGAAATTGCCGGGTTCCAAACGCTATGGGAGGCTGACAGCTACAGAGGTGCAAGCCCCCCGGGGCCAGCGCAGGTTCCTTTGCGGGGAGACGGGGGAGCCAGCCCACAACTGGCAGGTATTGCCTTTGGCCTTTTCCTTAGGAGGTGGTGTCTAGTCAGGCCCCGGACTGGGCTCCTTGGGAAGGCCTCCTTACCTGCTCTGCAGGCCTGTGGAGGTCCTGAAACAATGTTGTTTTCTTAAAGGGACTGAACCAGATACCAAGAGTCTGGGTTCGGGGTCTGTCCCGTGGAAGTGAGTGGTCCTCGGGGATGTACAGCTCACAGGCCCCACGTGCAGAGCTCTGTCCCACGAGGCATAAAGGAGTCTGCACCCCTGCCACAGCTTCAAGCTGCTGCTCTTCATGAACCACACAGTTGACAAGAAAATAGAAATATGTTCTTCTGGGCTTTAATTCTAATGATCTCAAATAAGTTCCTTTGAGTTTTTATGAAGTGATAGGTCTTTCTTTTTTTCTTTTAAAAAAGAAACTGAAGTAAAAGCCTCATGAAAGTCTAGTTTCTGAAAAAGGTTTTAAAGCCCTCAGAGGAGGCCCTGCTCTGTTCATGGTTGGTGTGTCAACATTTCCGGAGTTAAACAGAATTTAATTACTACAAATTTTAAGCTTTCATCTATAATTTTGTGTTTCAAAAGAAAAACTATTATAACTCCATGTATGTGTGCACGTTTGTTTATTAACCCCGAAAGTGATTCATACGCACGCTCCACCACCTCTATGAGGTGTGAGTCAAGCTGGTGTTACTTCAGGTGGGCCACACTCCCCCTACCATCTTTGGAGTCTACGGTTTGCCTGTACAGACAGTTAAGATCCCAAGCAGTTAGTAAATACCGAAAGGTGGGTGACATTTCCCTCTAAGGCTGCCTTGAAATCTTTACCTTCCCAGGCGCACAGGAGTCAGTCCGCTAGCAACTATGAAGACAAATGTTTGTTTTTCATCACTGCGTGTACAGACAGGGATGTAGCCAAGTTATTCACTAGAGGGAAAGGAAATGAAAGTATTTTGCTTGGCGCACCTCTGGCAGGCCTGGTGTCATTTGTCTATCTGATTTATTACCGCAGGATCACATTACAGGGGAGTTCCAAATCCTATAAGCACATCCAAGGTCACATACTTCAAGAGGAAGTATGCAGAAGAGGAGGATCTTCACCCACCACTCAGCAGCTGCAGCCATAAAGTATGTTTTAAATAGTAGTTATTTTATTAACAGTTACAATGCCTTGTAGCACTTGCTTGAACCATTTTCAGACATTAAATTGTTCCACCTAAGCAACAGAAGAGAGCAACTTCTTTGTGAGGCGCTACATGAATCACTTTTGGGGGGACCTGTACTGGATAGTTTTTTGTCAATTTGTCACAAGCCACAGTCATTTCAGAGGAAGGAGCCTCAATTAACAAAATGCCTCCATGTAAGAGCTGGCTGTACACAAGTCTGTAGGGTATTTTCTTAATTAATGGTCAATGGGGGAGGGCCCAGCCCATTATGGGTAGTGTCATCCTTGGGCTGTGGTCCTGGGTTCTATAAGGAAGCAGGCTGAGCAAGCCATGAGGAGCAAGCCAGTAAGCAGCACCCCTCCACGGCCTCTGCATCAGCTCCTGCCTCCAGGTTCCTAACCTGCTTGAGTTCCTGTCCTGACTTCCTTTAGTGATGGACTACAGTGTGGAAGTGTAAGCTGAATAAACCCTTTCTTCCCCGACTTGCTTTGGTCATGTGTTTCATCAAAGCAATAATAACCCTAACTAGGACAGGGCCTGTGTTACTTTTCACAAGTACTTGAAGAAAGAACCAAAAAGAGATTCTCTGCCCAGAAATAATAAAAAGTCTGTAAGGAAGCACACATCTTTTTGCCTGTGGTTTAATATTCCTGGGCTGCATTGAGGACTAGGGCTGCTCTGTGGTATCATGTGTTGGAAGATGCGCTTGGCTTTCCTGACCCTAGTCTGAGCTCTGCCACGAGGCTGCTGCTGTGTGCTGGTTAGGGTGGTTGTTCGGGGGTTTTCCTGACCTCCTGAGGGTCAGTGTCTGGTCGCTTGGATATGTGCATAGAACAGGCATGCTGTTTGTGATACATCCTGACACAGGTCAAGTTTGCTAAAGTTCAGAATTAATTCCTAAGGAAGAACCAAAGTAAGAAAATAACACAGTGGGGAAATGTATGAGAAGTGGGCATCTAAGTGTTGGTTCTTTTTCCTCTGTGATACCTTCCCCTCAGAGCTCCACTGACCTTATCAGTGAGGAGTAGCTAGAGCCTGGTGGCCAGATGCTGAGCTCTTCAGTTCAGCTTCTGCCAGGTCCCTGGCCCCAGCCTTTAGAAGTTGCTTTTGCCTGTTTGTAAGGAGGCAGCCGTGTTGACATGCTCAGTTTCTGTGCTGTGTCTGCACCAGCTTTCCAGTTGCTACTGGGATGTGCCAGATGCGTAGCACATCCCGTAATTCCAGCTCTTGAAAGGCAGAGCAAGTTCAGAAAGTTCAAAGCCTACTTGGGCTACATTGTGAGTTCCGGGGCAGCCTAGGCTACATAGCATGGCCATGTTTTAAGTTAACAATAGCAACAATTTCTAAAGGACCATCCTTCACCCAGTGACAGCCCCACACAACCCAGGACTGCATCCCCATCCCTAGTTTCTGTCTGCATCTCTTTCCTGTCAGCTCCACAAGCCAACAGGTCCTATCTAACCTAGCCTCATTAACTGCAGTTGCCCTCTTGTGAAACAGGGCGTGTTGCAGGTGTGAAACCCCAGAAGTGTTCCTTAGTATCCCAGTCCAAACTTTGACATGTGCCCATTAGAACCTGCATCTCGATTCTTTAAAAAGCATGTCCTGGGCCAGAGAAATGGCTCAGCAGTTAAGAGCACTGGCAGATGACCTTTGCAGATGACCTGAGTTCTCTCCCTAGCATCCATTTGGCAGCTCAAACTGTCTATGACTCCAATTCCAGGGCATCCAGTGCCCTTTGCTGGCCTCTCTCAGTGGGGACCAGGTACTCACATAGTACCAGACAGACATGCTAGCAAACACTCAAAACACATAAAAATAATCTTTCAGCCAATAGGGATGGCACAGGCCTTAATCCCAGCACTCAGGTGGCAGAGGCAGGCAGATCTCTGTGAGTTCAAGGCAAGCTTGGTCTACATAGTGAGTTCCAGGACAGCCAAGGATGTATAATAGAGAGGTCCTGTCTCAAAAAAATAAAATAATAGTAATATAAATCTTTTAAAAAAATAGATAATAACTTTCAAACATACTGCTGTGAGATGCATGAGTGTGCCTCTGCACACAGACATGTGAAATACAGCTTGATAGATTTCGACCAGAGCACTCCTTGTCACCAACAGCCAGGCTAACCTGAGTCCTCCCTGTGCTGCCCGGGGTCATCTGCCCCTTACCCCACACAGCTGCCAGACTGACTTCTGACAGCTCTGGTCGACTGTCTCGGCATCTCCTTCACTGGACGAGAAGGGGTCCACCTAGTGACTGGATCTTCTCTGACATACCCGGGGGTCAGGAAACAGGTGGGGATGGGACGTGCACCGCAGTGCGGCTGGCCTCTAACTGGGCGATGATACTTTCACCAACTTCGTTTCCTAAGCTTCCTCCTGTCTCTGATTTTTAGACCATTTCCATTTTTGAGGAGCGAGCACACATCCTGTACATGTCTTTGGAGAAGCTCAGGTTCATCGATGACCCGGAAGTGTACCTGCGGAGATCCGTCCTTATCAACAACCTGATGAAGAGGATCCATGGGGAGATCCTCATGCAGAACAGCTGGTGCCTCCCTGCCTGCTCCCTTGGTGGCACCTCCGCCCAAGAGTGGTTCCTGGCTCAAGACTGTCCTTACCGGAAACGGCCCCGGGTGGCCAAAGAGGAGTGGGAAAAGTTCCACACTTGCTGTTTTTATCAGGAGTGTGGGGGTCACTGCCTGGATCTGCCCCTTTCTGTCAATGCTGGTGTTGGGAGCGCTTCAGCTGCTGCCACAGCCACATCCCCCTCCTCCTCCCCACCCACCTCCTCCCCATCCTCCTCTTCTTCCTCACCCACCTCCTCCCTACCCACCTCCTCCCCACCCTCCTCTCCCTCCTCCTCCTCTTCCCCTCTTCCACTGGCTAGTTGCTCCCACCATGTGGACTTCGATATAGGCAGTGCACCTGTTTATAAGAGCGATGGCCAGATACCTGCCAGTGAGATCTTTGTCACTAATGTTAGGTCCCTTGGTGTCCAGGAAAAGGCCAAATCCAACGATGGGAAAGTAAGTCACGACAGCCACAGAGACGGTGATGCCATCAGCCGAGAACCTCTTGGGAGCGACCTTGATTTTGAGTGCAAAGGCCAATTTTATGATTATTTTGAGACCGGATATAACGAGAAAAATCATGTGAGTGAGTCTTGGAAAAAGTCTTTGAGGAAAAAGGAGCTTTCCCCAAGCAACAAACTGTGCTGCAGCAAAGGAAGTAAGATGTGACCGACCTCCCTCCCACCAGCACCTGGACACAGGCACGCACAGCATGACCAAGTTTTATTTTGAATGGATTTTGTAGTTTTGTACAACTGATAAAATTATGCAGTGAACACACTGTGTTGTTTCACTGCCTGGAGAGCAGATTGCACAAAACATCTGTACAGTAGGCATCCACAAGCTACTTACTAATGTGATTTTGCCAAGGAAAGCCAACTTCATGTTTGAAAGTATAGCTTAGTTTTCTTTTTTTAAAAAAAAAATCAGTAGATTAGGTTGAGGACAACATGCCCCTGTTATATTCCCACCGCCCCTCCAAAGAGCCCACCGATAGCCAAGACAAGTTCAACTTGTTTGCCAGTTAATTAGGTAGTTACTTGGTAAACAAATCATTATAACCAGCAGAGCTGTCTGCTTCTTCAATATGATACAGTATTTCTTTCTGAGTAGAAGACTGAAGACAGAAAAACAGATGACATGGTTTCATGAGTTGTGACATGTTTGTATTGGACAGGATGAGACGAAATGAAACACACCTACCATACCCTGCGAGCTCCTAGCTTCCATACGATGGTAATGGATGACTAGAGAGGTGGTGTACAGGGCTGTCTTTGATGGGGTGAGTAGAGAGGTAGCGTACAGGGCCGTCTTTGATGGGGTGAGTAGGGAGGTGTACAGGGCTGTCTTTGATGGGATGAGTAGGGAGGTGGTGCAGAGGGTGGTCTTAATGGGAGGACAAGGAAAGTGGTGTACAGGGCCAGTTTGATGATGGGCTGATAGGGAGGTGTGGTGTACAGGGCGATCTTGGGTGCCTTACTTTATCTTAATTTTTGCCAGTGTGAAAATTAAGGATAAATCAGAGCTACAGCAGGGATTTAACACATAGGAAAAAACACACAGGGTGGATCCATGCGGTTTGGAAACTTAACTTTGAACTATTGTGTTCAACTTTTGATTCACCATCCTCTTCCTCCTTTGTTTTTGACGCCCAGTGGCTGTGGGTCCGACATTTTGGGTAGAGATGGAGGAGACAGTAGGGAAGGCCATTGGGACAGTGAAAGCTGCCTGGGCTTTTCCATGGCAACGCACTGTTGCTGGGTCTGGGCTTTCTGAGCTTTGGGTTGTTTTGTTTTCTTGTCCAGTGACGTTCACAGCCCGTGGCATGCGTTACATACGTTATACTTTGCCCTGTTTTGCATCATTTCATGCGTTTAGACTCTTAAGAGCATGTGGTTTCTATATGTGACTTTCGCTGTTGATTGAGAAGCACAATGTTAATAGATGACGTGGTGATCAATATGTTTTATCTTAAAGAATGTAAAGATTGTAGGTTGCAGAACGTTATTTTGGAGAAATGGGACTCGCTCGTCATTGTTGCTGTGTATTTGGCCAACACACTATTCAAACAATACCTTGAATTTGCACATTGCTATGTGTCCTCAGTGGCATTCTGGCCCAGTCCAGCCAGCTCCTCTTCATAAAATGTATTCCCATTTCCAAGGCCAAGGACTTGGGCCTTTTAAAACGGTTATTCACAGGAACCAAATGCCAAATGGAGGAAATAGGTAAGTTCTCCCACTTTCTCCAAGATGAAGCTTTTTTAATTATTGCTATTAATATTAAATAGGTCTCATTCATACAGTGTATGAGTAGATCATTTGGGAAATTGTCCGCAAGGACCAATTTTTAAAACATGTTCCTGTGTTATGGCTGAATAGTCTAGTAATGTTTTGTCCTTTATTTTCAATATTTGATGAACATTTTGGTGTTGAAATTTTAGGTGATAGATGCTAGTACATGACTGTGTTGTAATAAAGTGAGGTTTTCTTGATATATATTTATTAAAATGATCAAAAATCATTAAGTTTTTACAAATTTCATTTTAATGGCTACTTCCCTTTTCCATGTTTCTCTCTATTTAAAACAAAACAAAAACCCCCTCAAAAATGTCTAGAAACAGTGCATGGTGACCACATGGGTATTTAAATAGAAAAGCTCATTAAGAATGAGCCCAGTCCCCAGCTTTGTGACATGTCAGATTACGAAGACTTGTCTATAAGCCGTTTTAGCAGCCAGGGGATTGAGAGTGGTTTCCCCTTCAATCCTGCATCCATGTTTCTTAGAAGCTAACATTTTATTTGATAAAGGGGGAGGTCTAGTTGAAGGCAAATTAATTTGTCAAACATATCAACTGTATTAAAAGTGTAGTGCTGTGCAGAGATTTAAATATGAAAGAATAGATTTGCCCTTTTGCTTTTTTAACCCCAGCATTTCCAGACAGTGTGATGATCTGGGTGTTTCCATCCTGTGTTATGTGGGATTTTAAGACAGGCTCTTCCTATGTAGCCCAGGCTGACCCAAGCCCCTCACCTCCTGCCTCTGCCTCCCAAGTGTTGGGATCTCAGATGCTGTTCACAAAGTCCTTTGAGTTGGCTGTGTCTGTCAGTGCTCACCTGAGCAGGCTCTGCTCAGCAGAATCTCTCCTCCACAGCATGAGAATCGGTTACTATTAGTCTTCTGAGTTTTGTTTTAGGACATTTCCAGAATAATAAGAGAAACTCCTTTTCTAAAACAAACAAAACAAAGCCAGAAGACCCTATACAGGCATCCAGATTACAGAAATTTTTTGTGGTCAGTTTGAGTGTATGAGCGTTTCCTGTGTGGCTCCTGAGAGTGGGCTGTTGACCTACCCAAGCAGCACTAACTAGATCTCCCAGGTGGCCAAGGCACTCCCCATCGTGAGTGAACCCCTTAACTGGGTTCTTTGTGAAGCTTACACCATCTCCCACATAAATAAGCTGGATGTGGTGTGCACTTTTTGGTTTTTTGAGACAGGGTTTCTCTGTGTAGCTTTGGAGCCTGTCCTGGATCTCACCCTGTAGACCAGGCTGGTCTTGAACTCACAGAGATCCACCTGGCTCTGCCTCCCGAGTGCTGTTTTAAAGATCCCTGGAATATTTTTTGATGAGTCCCCCTCATCTAATTGGTGAGCTTCGAGCCACTGAGAGACCCTGTCCCAAAAACCAAGGGGACAGCTCCTGAAGCACAACACGAGGTTGACCTCTGGCCTCCACACGCAGACATGCATGTGCACACACCACCATCCACCCACATGTGCATGTGTACACACGTGAACACAGGCATGAGAGCACAAAAAAGATACATTGAAAAATCCAACCAACCAAATAACCGAAGTGGTCCTGTGCTGTTGGGTCAGAAGAGAACTCACCCAGTATGTACACAGCTCTGGGTTCCATCCCCATCACTGCACAACAGCATGGCCCACACACCTGTAATCCCAACTGGGGAGGCAGAGACCAGAGGGTCGGCAGTGCAATGGCACGCCAGTGTGAAGCCAGCCTGGGATACTCAAGACCCAGTCTAGAAACAAGAAATCCCGCTCCCCAGCATCACTCCCCTGCAACTCAGGCTTCCTGTTTGTAGCCCAGTCCTTCCTGTCCCTTCCTTTCCAACAGTGGGTAGTTGTAGAAGATGATACCACAAAGGCACTGTCTGCCCCGACTTTTTTTTTTTTTTTAAGGAACTCATGTCTATGCAGACCGGCTGGCCTCAAACCCACAGAGATCCTCCTGCCTCTGCCTTCCAAGTGCTGGCTTTAAAGGAGTGCTCCAACCCCAGCAACTGTCCCACTCTTAAAACCCTGTTACCTGCACTACACCTTGAAACAGTCTTAGGCTGCAGGTGCCGGGAACATGGAAGATGTGGAAAAGCTTAAAACCAGTAGGACAAACCATTTAATAACCTGTCATTATTAGCAAAGCGTCTGTGATGTGATCTTTCAAGTCAATAGAGACTTAGGAGGTTCTACTCACTACTTTGTCACACAAGGATTCAAGCATGCAAATGAGGATGTCCGTTTTCAGATGTGGCAGAGCTGGGTACCAGGAGCCATACAGGAAGCAGACTCCAGCAGAGCATGGCCACTATCTCTCCAGTCAGAAACATGTAGCACCAATTGGCTCCACAAATTGCTTCCTTTCTGAGACTCGGAAAGCTTGAAGGAGACCCGGGCACTAGGAGATGCCAGTTTCAGGGTTGAACAGCAGACAAGGGTTCCACTGCGGTTAGGTGTCCATCTCCCTCATGCAGCTGAGAGCAGACGAGGAAATGAGCTGTTCAAACCCATGTCTATGACAGATCCTTAAATGATCTTGTAGTTAAGGTTACCACATCCCTGCTGACCCAAGGGTCGGCGGTATAATGATGGAGTCTCTGTCCCACGGAACAATCCAGCAAAGAGAACAATGAAATCGGTGTTAGGTGGAGAAGAAGCTATAATAGATGACTTTTGGTAATCCTCTTTTAAGATTGCTGTGCTGTGTGTGTGTGTGTACATGTGTGTGCAGGTCACATACACACAGAGAATTTACAGGGCCACCTAAGGTGGTCTCGTCCCAGTCACTCTCCATTTTACTTTTTGGGACAGGTCTGTCACTGAACTTGAAGCTTACTGATTTGGCTAGACTGGCTGGCCAGTGAGCTCCAGGGCCCCCTTGTCTCTGCCTCTCCAGTACTGGGGTTACCAGCATGTGTTGCCGTGCGTAGCTGTCACATGGGTGCTCAGATCCGTATGTGTGTGCAGCAAGCACATTACTGACTGGACCATCATCATCCCAAGATCCTCTAATCTTTGAGACGGTGTTTCTGAACCTGGAGCTTCTCATTTCCAGCCAGCCCCAGGGTTTCCCGTCTGCACTCCCTCCCAGCACTGGCATTGCAGGTACGCACCACCACATACCACCACACCTGGCTTTTGATAGGGAGCCGGGTATCCCTAACTGGACCGTCATGCTTGTCTACGCAGCCCCACTGCTGCGGCTGATGCCGTGGTTTACAACCAGTGCATGTGGGATCTTGTGATTTACCACCAGGCGCCAGCTGTTGCTTTCCTGGAGTTACAGTTGCATTGTGTGAGCAAGGTGTGTTCTCCTCCTCGCATTACTAAAATCTCCCTGTTTGAAGTGATGTGCTCCAGGACCCGGGGTGGGACTGTTTAGAAACTGCTTGTTTATCAGTGGGAGAACTCACTCAGGAAGAGTACTTGCAAAGATGAAGTTATGAGCACTTGAGTCTCACATCCTGCCATGAAGTGCATCAGCAAGTGAGTTTAATAAAACATGCCGTCTAAAATAGCCTGTAATTTCCTGTCTCTGCATTTCCCTTTGGTATCTGTGACGGGCCGCAGAACGATGACTAAACGAAGGGGGGACTCACAGCCGAGTCTGCTGCTGGTCGCAAACCTTCCAAGAGCGGCTGAGCTCTTGTAAACAGCTCTCTACTGGGCTATGGTTTTCCCCCCACCCCTAATTTGTTAATTTTGAAAATGCAAACTACTTATTCTAGCTCGAAACACCTGCGTTTGACCACAATGAAACTGATAAAAAAAAAAAATAGGAAGATGAATGAATCTTTTCTCATGTAATTTCCCTACTTCTCAGTCTTTAAAAAAAAACAAACAAAACTATTCCCATGATTTAAAGTAACAAAAATCTGATTAGATGCTTTTATCTTTGGGGGCCAGGGAGAACACATACGGAAAAGAATTGTTACAGATGTTGGTTGTGAAGAGCATAGGCAGGTGTCCACTTTGTGGGAAGGACCACACAAGCACGCTTTGGCTTGTGCTTGCCCAGGCTAGACTGGCCTCCATCCAGGCCATTCCACGGGAGCAGCTGAGTCCTGGCATCAGACACGTGGTAGTTGTCACTCGAACCCTGCTTGGATGGTTGTGGGAACATCTGCAGGTGCCCTCCAAGGTGACCAAAGTGAAGTGTGTGAGCTGTTCTGTGTGACTCTCTCTGGTCTCTTTGCTACCCAGGGGTGAACGGCAGGTCCTAAAGTATACCTGGGGCAGCATTTAAAACATCTCTACAAGAAGTTGAGAAACAGGCTCCCCGTGTGACCAGAAGGAAATCTGAAGACATCTCAGGAGACAGGAAAAAACATCAGAGGACTAGGTTTTCTTCCTGTGCCTTCCTTTTCCAGAGCTGGGAAAGCTGCTCACGCCATTCTCCAAGTCTGCAGATGTCCCCAAACCTCTCAGTGCTGAGATGGAGGTGTCGCCCCAAGACACCTTCCCACTCAGTTCAGGCACAGAGGAGAGGCAGTGGCTTTCCTGTAAGGCTGGAATAGAGCAGAGGCCGGAAGTGTAAGGGGCCCTGACAGCCTGGATGCAGAGCCACACTCCGCCACTACAGCCAAGAGGGCCCCTTACAAGGGAAAAGATACAATCTCTTAATTCCTAGCTTGTCACATAGTTTGCCAAAGTTCAAGTTAATTCTCTTACTACATGGAATGGTTGGTTCCGTTAGATGTAGTCTTTATTCAGGAAGAAAAAATCCCACCAAAACATGGTGCTAAATTAAACATTTCAGATGATTTAAGCTCAGTCGTTCTCCTGTGTGCCCGACCTCACAGGAGAAACCAAAGCAGCATTCTAAACAGTCAAAACAGCCGGGCAAGGGTGGCATAAGAGGCCAGCCTGGTCTACAGATTGAGTTCCAGACAGCCAGGGCTACATGGAGAAGAAAAAAAAAACAAACCTCTGGGGCCCTGCCTTATTAGAAAGCAACTAGGATCTATTCTGCACCGTCTGTTTTTCTGTTTGTTTTGTTTTTTGGTGGTGAGTCTTCTTTTTTCCTTTTTGAGACAGTCTTTTATAACCCAGACTGAAACTATGTATCTGAAGATGATCCTCCTGTCTCTGAGATGACAGGCATTCACCACCACACCTGGTTTATGGTTTATGCCATGCTGAGAATCAAGCCCAGGGCTTCATGCATGCTAGGTAAGCACTCTACCAACTGAGCTCCACCCCCAACCCTGTGTTTTCTGCTTGTAAGAGGGAAGTTTCAATATCAGATCAAGTAGATTGGTCCTACTTCAGACTCTCATCCCTTTTTTTTATGTAACCTTTAAATTCATCTGATGGTTTCAGAATAGTATGCTATTCACAAAATCACATTTCCACCTGTTTCTCAGCTGTCTAGTTTTCCCTAAGGTGGGTATACCACTTGATTGGTAGGGCCTGAGAGCAACAAGGGGAGCCCTGTGATTGGAGGGTGAGAAACGCCACCAGAGTTCAGTGATGCACCATGATAGCCCTGGGACTGCTCAGCAAGAAGCCAGACCTCTCCCTGCACCACTAGCCTCAGGAATGGCATGCCGAATACCTGCAATTCGTGTCCGCTGGGAGACATTGAGGAGCCAGAACACTACTCATTCAGTTGCAGGTTTTCCTGGAAGAGTCCTGCAGAAATGCCTCTTCAGCAGGTCAAGGAAACAATACCTCAGGGAATGTCCAGCTGGCTGAATCAATGGATTTATTGGGGGTGCTTTCCCAGAGCACAGGTGGCTCAGGCAGCCCTGTGACTAAATGTCCCACCCTGTATGGGTGGCTATACAACATCACTGGAGTCTCCATCCCTAGTCAACACCAAAGGCCGTGTGCAGCTAGGGGCCAAGGGTGGCTGAGTCTCAGGTAAGGGTCTGCTAACCTTTCTTCTCTAAGGGAATGTTGTAGGCTGGGTCTTGTGTCTCCTGGGAGTGGCTGGAGCCAGCAATGGAGGGTGGCAGGCAGAAGACACTCAGGGAAACCAGGAAATGGCCATCTCCAAGCTCTGTCTTCTCGATGTTTGGAAAACCAACAACTAATGAAAAAAAAATTCCATTTTCCAATGGCTAGAACTCCAACTAGTAAGAACCTGTAGCCAGCTCAGCCTTCACTGGTTTTAGTCAAGGTGGCTATACAAAATGGGGGTGGCATGGGTCGCTCTCTGAAAGTTAACTGCAGAAAGAATCCTAAAGGAACCACTGGTCATTTGTCTATCTGGGTGTTCAGTGACGGAATAAGTAGATGCACAGTGAGATGACCCCTGCCGTGAGCGTTGTAAGAATTAATTCATTTACAACTCCAATTGTTATAGATCTAAGCTTGATTCATTATTCTAGTATTCTCTTCTCCTCTCCTCTCCTCTCCTCCCTCCCTCCCTCCCTCCCTCCCTCCCTCTCTCTCTCTCTCTCTCTCTCTCTCTCTCTCTCTCTCTCTCTCTCTCTCTCTCTCTCGTGTGTGTGTGTGTGTGTGTGTGTGTGTGTGTGTGTGTGTGTGTGTACACTGCCCATGACTATTCTGTCGTAGCACTACATTCCTGCAGGCGGATTCGCTCGCCCCAGCTCAATACGTTACCCCACCCTCCCCCAGCCCATTAGCCCGGCACACCCGGAGCCAGCCAGGCACAGCGCTGCTGCTCCTGGCACAAGAGCTTCTTCGCCTCCTTGCACCAGGCAGGCAGGGGACCCTGAGCCTCTTCCTCATGTTTATGCGTAATAAAATAGCCCACGTTCCCTCTGCTGCTTTATGAAGACAGTCCTTGCAGCTGTGACTGTAACTGGATTTTTTCCTTACCAGCTAAGATTATGGTCCCATAACCCAATTAGTGTCATTTGGTGGTGGTCCAAGTGCCTCTCCTGCCCGGGTTTTAATTTGGGGATCCCCGGAGGCTGCACTCCACATCTGTAGTGGGCCTGCTCCTCCTCTCCCGGTATTTGCTCGAGGTTTATGGCGGGATTAGCTGTGTGGTCTGGAGGCGGCTGTCCTCTTTCATCCTCATGGCTCCGGAGCCGCCCAGAAGCCTTTTACTTTCCATCTAGCCCTGGCACCTAGAGGGCAGGCAGCCCGGGCGACTGGAAAGAATCACAGCTCGCCCCGCAGGCCCCGGAGGCGCGGTCTTGCCGGAGTGGGGGGAGGTGCTGCTCGCTCCGCAACGCTCACTCATCAGGACGCGCCCGCCCCATCTACACAGGGCGCAGGGTCCGCCCCGCCCCCACTCACGGGCTGGTGAGGACTGGCGAGGGCTGGCGGGGCTCAGGGCGCCCATTGTGCAGGCAGCTGGCACCAGCTGGGAAGGGAATTAACATAACAAAGAGCCAGAGCAAGCACCGCGCGGCCGGGCGGGGGCTCTGCGCAGCGCCCCGGGCTGGAGGAGCGCGCGGTCGCCTGCTGTCGGGTACCGGAGCAGCCAGCCACGCGGGGCGCAGACAGTGGGTGCAGGCGTGTGTCCCTGACGCGTGTGCATGTACATGCATGAGGGTGCGCGCCTGCCTGGAACCACATCCCAGGCCTGGGATGTGGATGTCTGTGCCTCAACCTACCTGCAGACACTGGGCACTGACCCACTCGGCCTCCTGGCACCCAAGTGGGCATTGTTGTGCCTTCCTTTCCAAACGTAGTCTTTTGACTTTCACCGCCTGTTCTCAGCGGGGTCCGCACCTCGGAACCACCTAGGGAGCTTTCCCCAGCTCCAGGCCCGGCTTCCCTCCATACTCCAGACTATTTGGCCTGGCCAAGGTCCCCAACGTTGTTGACTGAAGCATCCGCAGCCGTTCTGGCTTTGCAGAGCTGGACACCACGGGGCGCGCCCTGACCCCGACCCTAACCCAAAGCGAGAGGCCAGCGTCAGAGCAGTGGCTCGAGCAGTGAGTGGGGTTTGAGGCCTTAGAGCTTGGCCTTCGCCTCGGCTGGCTGCGGGGGGTCAAAGACACATTTCTGACTAGCGCTTCACAAGCTTCCGACTAGCCCGCTTCACCTCGCTTATTGCTTAGAGCCTTGCTACAGTCGGTAGGAAGAAAGCTGTCGGGATGGGAAAGCGCAACTGAACTAGGTAGACAGACAGACGGACGGACAGACTGACAAAAACCAAAGCACTGTTTTTAGGCTACTGCCAGGCCTCCGGGTCCCTTGGAGGTCTCCTGTGGGGACTGTAGGTAGGAGTCAGGCTCATCAGGACCCACAACTCACGAAGCGGACACTGCCCAGATGCGGAAGCTGTGCCAATTTCGTTCGACCTTGGTGACCCCCGCCTCGCGGGTCCCAGTCCTCTCCAAACTCCATCTCCCCGCGGGGAAAGACGAAGGGGCGAGCCCCGCACCGGCCTCCCGCAGCTGCGCTGCCCCAGGAAAGTGGGGAGGAAGCGCCGCCGCGGGAACCCGGGGACCGATGTGCACCTCGGCGCCTCCGGCCTTACCCAGCCTCGCGCTTCCTCCTGGCTCCGGAGCCAGGCGTCTGTGAACCCCACTGCCACAGGCTGACTGGGTGGCTCCCCAGAAGCGGGAGAGTGACTGAGAACAGCTACCCGGCTCTGCCACCCCGAAACTCTGTGTTACCCTCAGGCCCGGGTTCTGAGAATGAGCTCCAGATGCTTTAGAACGCGCAGCTTCAAGAGGGGGGCCTGGGCCCCGGAGGTCACCACCCAGGACCACGTTCCGGCCTCACCGTAGGGATGTAAGCTCAGGGGAGTCAGGGACTCAGCAGGGTTCACTACAGTTCAAGTGGCTACCCTTGCGGGCAGAGCCCAGAGAATGCTGGGTGCTAACGTCCCCAGGACTGTTTTGCCATATAAACTCCCAGCTTAGGGTGTCAGATAGTCTGGAAAAGGGGAGAAGGTGGAACCCCTGGCCCTCAACTTGAGGCGAACCCCGTCCGAGGTTAGCAGCCCGGCGGGTGACCTGGGCGCTTTGCAAGGACTTGGTGTTGGCTACTGCTGTTGTTGAGTTCAGAATTCTCGCGGGTCCTAACCACTGTGTTTATTCTCAATAAATGGTTTCTTAATAATCGTTTTAATTAGCAAAAAGGCTGTCTTATTAAAGCTAATTAAAGGCAATTTGGGAACCTTATTTTCATACAATCATAAAATTAGAGGAACAAGAGGGTAGAGAAATGGGAAATGCCTCCCGCTGCCGTGCTGAGGGTGCGTGGAGACGCTGGCAAAGGTCCCTAACCCCAAGGCAGGCCTGAGGGGCAGGGGTACCCAGTTGGTAAACTGAATCCCAAATGTAGGTGCAGCCGAGGACAGTGCAGGAGGGATCCTCTGCCCATATCTTCCTTGTGGCATCTCAGAGACATCCAACCTACCCACCCTCCCCTTCCCCTTCCCTCCCTGCTCTGTTAGTTCCCTCCTGAGTTATCTTCCTGTTGAGAAAGAAGACACTTTTTTCCACCTCTACCACTGCACCAGCTGCTGGAGACTGCCAGGTCTCACCCTTGCCCCGCCGCCTGCGCGCACAGCCTCCATCGGTGTTGCCTCCTAGCCATTGTAGGGTGACTGCCCCATGTCACGAGCTTCCCAGGGGCTTGGAACCTCTTGGATCTGGCTTCGTGTCCTCCAAACCTTAGCCTAGGTTTCTTCCCAACCAAACCTTCTGCTGGCTGTGGGGACCTGCACATCCTCCACTGCTGACCTCGGCCTTGGCCTTCCCCTTGCTTTTCACTTAGGCTGGGATAACCTCTCCCAGCCTTCGTATCACAAACAAACACCACTTCCTCCCATGGTCTACATGTCCTACAGAGCTTTCTACAGTCTCTATAGGCATGTTTCCAGGACCTAATGCTACAGTCCTGTTTGTCTGTTTTTGCTTCAAGAGGCTGTCATTTTAGAAAAGCATTATATAACTATAACTTTGGGGATCCAGAGACCTCACTCCAGCCCTGCCTTCACATGACTTTAAAGACTGAAGCAAGGCCTTGTCTTCTCTGAACTCTGGTCTTCATCAGTAGAGGAGGCTCATCTCAAGAGGATGTCTGTACAGCATATCCCGTTGTTGCTGGAGTGTGGGGCCGCCATGCAGACACACCTCTCCACAGTGCAGACACTCACTGTCGTAAGCGGTTTCAGGACAGTTTAGGAAGTGAGTTCACAGGGAAGAGCATCTGAACTGGCTCCATCCAGGCTCATCTCTAGAGATCCTCAAGGCCTGCCTTCCATCCCTTTTCGCCAATGCTCTTTCCAAATGCCTGGACAGACTCTTCAGGGGTCCAGTTTATGTGTTTATATACGTGGCACACTCTGTCCACATCTCATGTTAGAACTCTGCAAAAAAGCCACAAGGCAGAGTTTTGGTTCCTTGCTTTCATTTTTAAGCTTTAAAACAATGTGTGAGCCTTGTGTTTGTGGGTACCTATATAGGCCAGAAGAGCCGATCCCTTGGAGCTGGAGTTACAGGCTGTTGTGAACTACCTGATGTGGGTGAAGGGAACCAAACTCAGGCTCTCCAGAAAAACAGTCCTCTCCAGCCCCCCTTGCCTCCTTGTTTAAGGTTTTCCAACCTCCTCCCATTGAGGACCTCCTTGTAAAGGATTTGTTCTAGTAAGATGCCCCCTTCTAAGTGCTCCCTAGAAAATACCCTACAACCCCCAGAATTCTTGCCTATCCTTGGAAATCCAGCTTGGTGGATTTTGCAAGCCAAACCTTGTGTTTCTCCTTAGGTGTTGCTTGGGGGCCCCAGACATGAGCCAGGCAGGTCCTTTCTCTCACCCCACCCCACCCTCCAGAATTCTCTGGCCGAAACCTGAGCAGTGACAAAGCGGTCCAGGCTAAGCGTTTAGCTGCCGATTCTCAAAGCAATCGTTAAATTAGAGGCTTTGGCCTCCATGGCAGCTGCTGTCACCAGAAAATGTTTAGTAGGGGATGCTCACTAGAGGAAAAGGCAAGCCGGTGGCATTTGGATTCTGACCGGTGTATACTCTGACCTTCTCCAGGGCTGTACCTGGAGCAGAAATGCCACAAAAACAATCAGCACATGCATGCCCCACGCACCAAGCACAGTGGTCATTTTTCTCCATCACAGGCACAAAAGAGCCATGTTTCCATCCCTGAGTATTACCTGCAGTGTCTGTCCACCGTAGCGTCCACTGGGGCTGGAGCTACTCTGGCTGGCATGATTAAAGCCTGAGTTATACGACAGTGACTTCACTTTCAAGGAGCTAGAAAAACCTGCACAGGACCCCTGGGGCGGGACACAGGCTCCTCAGAATGCTCCTTTTTAACAAAGTTGTCATGAAATCCAATTAACCAGCTGGAAGGCTAGCGTGGGCAGGCCTCCTCGGGGTTGATAAATAATAGAACATGCCCTGTATCTGAAAGAGCCTGTCTGTGGCAAGCTTGGAGACCAAGACAGCACTCCCTGCAGGAAAACACGGGCACCATAACCCCTGCTCTGCGAGTCTCACAGTGAAGGTCCTGAGAGGCACATGCCTCCCACCCCCAGGAACCACTCTCATCAATGAGCCCTAGGTCAGGGGCCCTGGAATAGGAATCAGCCTTAGGCTGGGTGTGGTGGTGCACACCTTTAATCCCAGCACTCAGGAGGCAGAGGCAGGAGGATCTCTGTGAGTTTGAGGCCAGCCTGGTTTACAAAGTGAGTTCCAGGACAGCCAGGGCTGCTACACAGAGAAACCCTGTCAGGGTTGAGAGGATGGAGGAGAGCCTTAGGATGGGTTAATGGCCTTGTCTCAATTCTAGGTCTGACTCATTTTCCCATGAGGTATTCAGAGACCCCTGCTCTTGCCCTTTTCATAGTGAGAAGCAGCTCTTCCTCCGTCGCTGACCTCTGAGTGGGATTTCTGCTTTTGCTAGGTCAGCCAGCTCTGTTCAGTGGAAAGACAATTTGAACCACAGATATTGCGGTGGTTTGAGTGAGAATGGCTTAGTTAGGAGGTGTGGCCTTGTTGGAGGAAGTGTGTCACCGTGGGGGTGGGCCTGCAGGTTTCAGATGTTTAAGCCAGACCCAGTGAGGCACTCTCTTCCTGCTGCCTGCCAATCTGGAGGTAGAAGTCTCAGCTACCTCTCCAGCTGTGCACCATCATGCTTCTCCCCGTGATGACAATGGACTAAACCTCTGAACTGTAAGCCAGCCCCAATTAACTGCTTTCCTTTGTAAGAGCTGCTGTGGTCATGGTGTCTCTTCACAGTAACAGAAATCCTAAGACAGACATAATTTTAAATTGTCTAGTAATTCCATTTTAAAAGACGCTCAAAGAAGGAGGTGACATTAATTTTAATTATATATTTTATTTCACCCAAACATCCACCAGTTGTCTTCACTTAGACACAATCAATATCTACAAATAAGATATGTTGTATTGTTTTCGGTTCCCAGAATCTGAAATCTGCTGTGTATTTTTTAAAAACATTTTTATTTATTATTTTATATTTTTTAATGTTTTGTTTACATGTGTAGCTGTGCACTACATATGTGTCGTGCCCACAGAGGTCAGAAGAGAGCATCAGATCCCCTGGAACAGGTTGGGAGCTAACATGAAGGTGCTAGGGTATGAACCTGGGTCCTTTGGAAGAACAACCAGTGCTCTTAACCACTGAGCCATCTCTCCAGCCCCCTGCTGTCTGTTTTACAATGCATATAAATTAGAGCATGACAATGAGGCAGTGGCTCCTACACTGGACAAGGTCACTGTGTAACACTGTAATCCCTGATATGGGGTCATGCAGCTCCAACTACAAGCCTCCTCCCGTCTCTCCTCTGGGTACCATCATGAATTTACTTCTCAGGACCCCTCAGCCCAGCCCTCTAGTTTGAGGCCATGGAAGCCTCAAGGCATTGGAAACTGATGTTGTTCTTAGTGACTGTCCCGTGTTGTCCAGGGGTCAACATGTTGGGCTGGGCCAGCTCTAGCCCATGCCCACCTGCTTCGTCCTCACTGCATATGACAGGGCTATGCTAGAGTGAGCAGAGCAGGCTTGGGACCACCGAGGGCGGAGGTGTTGGCAGCAGACTGTGGTGTTCCCTAGGTGGTGAAAACCATTGTTAGGAACAGACAGGAGCTTTTAATCCTCTGTTAGCAGAGCAGGGGAATGTGGGCAGCAAGTCAAGTCTTGTCAGGGAAAATACCAGCAGGAAGGGGAGCCGCCTGGCATGCCCTGTCACCAATGCCTGCCTCTACTGCTTCCCTCTGACACAGTGCCTCAGTGCCATCGAGCCTAGCCAAGCAGCAGCAGACCCTGAGCCATCACTGCCCCTGCTGTTTGACTCCTTCCATACAATCGTCTCTGCCTCTCAGCAGTCGTGCTGTCTCTGCATGTCCCACATCAGAGCATCCCAAGGGGAAGGACTCCTGGGTTCACATATTTATGAGCAGCCTAAGGAGGAGCATGACGTGGGACACGTGACCCGGCTAGCACACTGGCCCTTCTTCTTGATGCTCTCTCCTACCTATTCCTATTGTGCAATAGCAGCAGACATATGAGGTGGAATTGCCCGGCTGAGGGCAGGGTCTGCGGTGTAGCCTCAGGCTGCCACCTTCAGCAGAGGCTTTGCAGGAAGTGATGTCTGTAGAGAATACTGCCCACCTGTAAGGTACAGTGGTATTGTCGTCAGAGACCCATTCCCAGGCCCATGTTTGCAGCTGGGACTCTGTCAACTCAAGCCTGCTGTCACTACTACCCTAGCCTTAGAAAAGAGAAAGTGTGGGCTGCTCTCGCAGAATACTCAAGTTCTGTTCTCAGCACCCACATCTGGTGGCTCACAACCACTTGTACCTCCAGCTCAGGGACTCCAATGCCTCTGGCTTCCACAGACACCCACCCACACGTGTACATAGACACATACACACAACTAAAAATAAAATACATTAGCTGGGGTGGGGAGGGTGGTGCACACCTTTAATGCCAGCGCTCAGGAGGCAGAGGCAGGCAGAGCTCTGAGTTTGAGGTCTATATACTGAGACCCTGTATCCACAAACAAACAATAAACCCCTCACCCA